GAGGTGTGGGAGGCGCCAAACGCGGCGTCCTTGGCCACCGCGGCGTCCATGCGCGGAGCCCTCGCCCGCGAGGGCAAGGTGTAGGCCGAGCCGGAGATGAGCGAGACGGCCAGCATGCCGGGCTTCGCGAGACTTCTGACACCTCTCGGGAACCAAGCATACCACACCTGGGGTGTTTACTCTTTCTCTGCCTCGCCACTTTGTGAGATAGCTGCAGTGCAGCCACATCCTCCAGTCGATGCCCGTGATCGAGCTTCTTTGGCGTTCGGACACCTCTTCTTCACCTCTGTGGAACCAGCACGTCCGTGAACAGAGTTCCTATTCTTGAGGTACCCAAGTAAGAGATTGTAACTGTGGTGGGGAGAGACGGCGACGATGTGTTCCATCCGCCCCCAAGTTCAGCTTCATTCACAGCATGTCACGCCCCGGCGCTAGCTGTGTACTGCCTTCCAGTTGAGTACTGCCCTCTGAGGGTGCGTACTGCTGAGGGTGCGTACCGCTGTGCATGGCTGTGGACCGTCCTGCACTGGCTGTGTACTGCCCTCGTCACTTCAAGGCTGTGACGTGAGATTCCTGGAGAGATCTTTGAGAGGGCCCCTGCCCACCTACAAAAGCCTACCCCCCCCCCCCTTTCTCACAGTGAGCAATGCATGCTGTACCTCGCTGCATGGGGCCAGCACTTTTTGCTTTCCGGCTTTGGGCAAAACACAGCCCCGGCCTGAGAGAACAGACAAATCCACGACGGTCACGAAAAAAGAATTCAATGAGCGAGCCGGTTGCCGCATACCCGCCTTCACGCTTGAGAAAAATAGAGCGAGCAGCGAGAAGGAAAGCGTCGTGTGTCGTGTCGGATGACGATCGCGTAAAGAAAGAAAGAAAACGGCGCGCGCGCGCGTGGCGCCAGGAGATCGCGTTGACCCCCGACCCCCACGACGGTGAGCTCGAGCTTGTTGCGCGCGCCGACCTTGTAGTGTCGCGCTGTAGACCAACTCGAACTCTATGACCGACCAGCGCAAGATATTCATCGGTGGCCTCCCGCACGAGGCCGACCAGGAGACCATCCGCGAGGACTTTGGGCGGTACGGCGAGATCGAAGACGTCTACCTACCGCGGGACCGCGAGACGGGCAAGCCAAAGGGATTCGGATTCGTGACGTACAGAGACCACCGCGACGCGAGCGAAGCCGCCACTGCGATGGGCGGGTGAGGACCACACGGCACCTCTGGAGCTCCAAAACTGGCACCGCCCAGACTCCGTCCGCTCCCGGTTCCCAGGCGCGACTACCGCGGCCGAAGCATCACGTGCAACATTGCTCGCCCGCGGGAAGAAAACAAGTCAGCACCCGAAGGCCGCGGCGGGTACGACCGGCCGGAGGGGGACCGCGGCCGCGGCCGCAACTACGAGTACGAGGACCGCGGCCGCACCAACTATGACCGCGGCGACTATGACGACCGGCGGGGGCGTCCGCGGTACGACGAGCCTGCCGAGCGGTACGGTGCCTCGCACGAGCGCGGAGGCGGGGGAGGAGGCGGCGGCGACCGCTACGGCGGCGGCTACGGCGACCGCGGCGGCTACGAGCGCGGAGGCGGCTACGAGCCGCGAGGAGGCTACGAGCCGCGGGGCGGCGACGCCTACTCGCGCGGAGGCGGCGGCGGAGACCGCTACGGAGGAGGGTACGGCGGTGGCGCCTACGAGGACCGGTACGGCGGCGGCTACGGCGACCGCGGCGGCGGGGGCGGCTACGAGCGCGGAGGCGGCTACGAGCCGCCGCCTGCGCGAGGCGGAGGCGGAGGCGGAGGCGGAAGCGGAGGCGGCTGCGCTCCTCAGAGAGCCGTTGAGAGCTCGGTCGAGTCTGATCGCCGCCGGTCACGCTCTAGGCGACCGGTACGGTGGAGGCAACGGCGGCGGAGCCTACGAGGACCGGTACGCCGGTGCGTATGGCGAGCGCAGCGATCGTGGCTACGGGGGCGGCGGCGGCGGTGGCAGCGGCGGCAGCTACGGTGGCGGCGGCCGCCGCTGAAGTGCCTGCAGGAAAGGGGAGAACAGAGAGCATGGGCCCATGGTTTTGCAGCTAGCGCCAAACGCGTGGCGGGCGCGTACGTCGATCGAGGAGGGGGGGGGGGGGAAAAAAAGGGAGGGGGGGGGGGGGGAAAAAAAAAAGGGTTTTTGGGGCCCCCCGAATCAGGGCTCCCCGGGGCCATTTCGTCCCAATATAAAAAAACCCCCCCGGGCTTTTTGAACAAGGATTTTTTCCCAAACCCCCCCTGGGGTTTCCCCCCC